GTTTATTTCCTTCCCAGACCTATGTGAATACGACCCTATACGAGAAGTTTACTTACGCAGGCATTGATTGCTCCGCTGAAGAAGCTGCTTAACACAGGAGAAATCTTCATTCATCAATGATGTATTGAAGAAAACCAAAACTTAATCTGCTGGAGTCCAAAATGTGATGTGCTGTGTAGAACTGTGTATAGCTCTAACTGTATATAATACAGTAATACTGTTTTACTGCAGATATGTATGTGTATATCACACAGTAACCTCTGCCTCCACAGGCTGTAGAAGTGTATATACTGTTCAGAGTAGGAATAGACTGAAGTAATGAAATCTGCTGTTTCATATGCAAGATTTTCTTTTTTCCTAGTCATGCAGATATAGTGTATACATACAATTATTGTAATCCATTAGGTATTGCCATCTTAAACATTTCTGATACTTACCAAGAGCTACTGATATCAAAGTCAGTATCTTATAGCAGTATTTCAGACATTTCATTGTGATTCAAACAAAAATGCTAAGCTCAATACAACAATGGAAGTTGCAAACAGATGTCAATCTAGTATGCTCACCAATTATTAAGACTCCTATTTAAATGTAAAAGTGAGCTAGTAGAAATAGTCTGTTCAAAAATTCTGTTGACACTTGTAATGCATGCTATTGCTCTTTCATTGTCCAGTTTAAAAGTCACTATTTGCCTATATGCAAAATATGAATATATTTTGAAGTCTTTTTTGCTATTGGAGGCAGCCATACAGCAATTATCATGTAGCATAGGATTGAGGAACATACCACATATTTTTACAATTAGCCTGGATATACATGAGGCTTATTCAATTTGTATTTCATTTAATAATTTCACTGCATAATTATAAATTACTACCTATTATATACAAGCAGGGCTTACTTTTGCTTATTTTATCCCTTATGCAGTGGTATGGCCTCTTAAAAATACTGTACTGGATTACTTCAAAACAATGATATTTGGCCTGCCAGAAAGATCTTCTAAGCCTTAGGCTAGACAAATAGAGGCATGTATCAAGTCAACCAGGTGGGATCCTGTGGACTTACCCTATTCAGACTTCACGTACCAGCTAACCTCATGCTTTGCACATAAGTTCCCCTCGTCCCCCTGTGACTCACCAGCTCATAAATGACCATCAGACCACAGTGACTTTCCAGCTGGGTGGATCAGGCGATCCCCCAAGACTTGGGGGAAGACGATAGAGAAAGAGAAAAATGTTTCCCCTTTTGATACTTAATTTGTGAGTGGGTATTTGGTTCATTACAAGGCAGGGAAATCACAGCAGAGGATAGCGTAACATTGCTGGCATACACCAGGCTGACTCAAATAGGAGAAGCACCAAGATCTTATTAAAAGGGAATAAGCCAACAAACAAAGGTGCTGAGATCACTTGTGTGTCCTTGCGGTAGGCAGAAGTTCCACTGTAAGTACAGGTGCTACAATCCAAGTTTACAAAGAATGCACAGATTCACTAGACCAAGGAACAACTCCAAAATGGAAAAGAGAAACAAACTCCACTATATTTTTCATAAAAGACTACTTGGGTGGGAATTTTGAAGCATGGGCATTGCATTTTTATGTCCAACTAGGTTCCTACAGGTCAGTGAAGTGAACACGAATGGACGTCCACAGGTTTTTTCTAGGCTGCCAGGCAAAGCTAGCTAACAACTTCTGGAACTGCTCCACTTTCTGCACAGAATTTTTCACATGTCCAAACCAGCTTATTGTCTCTAACAAGCTGACACAAGTGACTATTCTGCTACTTGATGTGAACCCCTTCTACTGTGGCAAGCTTTTACTTGGACCAATATGCCACATAAGGAAAGAATGACAGGATCATTCATCAACCCAATAGGTCTTAATACTGTCTGCATTTTAAGTGGTCGAACATCACTGTAAATTTAGCTGAAGGTCATTTAAGTGTCCTTATAAATGTTCATCATATCTTCATTTAACATTGTGGCATGCATTAACTTTCAAATCTACTGTAATAAAATTTAATTTTTTTTAAAATTGCCATTTAAAAAAAATACACAAAAGAAAACAGTAACTCCAATACACAGCTTGAGATGTCTGTATTCAGTCTATACATCACAGAACTACAGCTATTAAAAACATCCACTAGTTCTGTCAGGGTCTCAGATAGACAAATTGCTCCTCTGCTTGCAATGTGCACTGGGTATCCCAGGTTCAATAGTTAAATTTTACTGTCTGGTATCCAGTGGTGGAAAGCCTGATTTATGGCAGTAGGTGGTGTGTAATGGTTTTCAGTTTAACCATTAGCAGGTTGTATGTTCTGCCTTCCACAGCACAATAATTCAGATCCTATGTCCCCTGCTTCCCAAGTGTCTTCTGCTGTCAAGAGCGTAATGCTACCAGTGCCAACAGTTTTCCCTTATTCCAAATATCCCATGTCCTCACACTCTTTATACACCTCCAGCTATTCACACCTGCTGACATCCATGCACAAGCTTAGAGAACCATCAGCTATTCCCTACGTTCTTTTTTGATATCACAGGATTAGTTTTCGCATATTCTTTTACATGCAGTTACCAAGCTCATACTCAGTACTAAGTTTTCGGTCGGGAAAGAAAAGAAGCATTTCAGACAAGTGGAGTTGGACATGCTTTGAGGAGTATGTGATGCAGAATGGCAGGTAACTGCTTACAGTAAAGTGTTATCCATAGTGGAAAAAGAAATTACCAGACTTAATCAGAGAAGCAGAGCCTTTAAGAACAAAAAAGCAGAAGCAAAGCCTCCACACATCTTTCCCAAAACTTCTCCCTCACCATTCTCAACTTTCATTTAGTGCAACAGCTCTCCGATTATTCAACAGTCTGAGTGCAGACCAAAAAACCAAAAGTCATTATGTCCAAGCAAAACTCAAGAGCTACAGAAGAACACTGTGCTTGACAGGAAAACTAAGAAAAGAAAACAGACATCACTGGCTTGTGTAATGCGAGGTTCACTAGATACCATCATGAGGGGAGGGGTAACAAAAATACCAAACAAGCACCTTTACCTTGATTGGCTGAAAAGTAAGGTGTGACTAACCTTGGAGATGTCTGAATTCAGCTAATCCACCCAGTGGCTGCACTTCTCCCAGTCCCCAGTAACCTGAAAGGAAGCACACGTCTTGTCTTAAAGGATGGGGACATTTAATTGTTACTTCTCTGTGGACAGACTGTGCTTGATACAACTCTAAAGTCAAACACAGCCCCTCTCCACTACCCAAAATATAATGGTTAGGCATTTGCTGAAACTAAAATACAAAATGTTGATTATTACATACATCTCATCAAAATGTATAAATACCTGATGTAAGGAAGTAAGGCACATGGAAGTAGCCTCTTCTCAGCAGTACCCAGTGACAGGATGAGAAGCAATGGGCATAAATGGAAATTTAGGAAATTCCATTGAGGGTGGTCAAGCCATGGAAGAGGTTACCCAGAGAGGCTGTAGAGTCTCCAGCCTTAGAGACATTCAAAACCTGACTGGGCATCACAGAGGATTAGACTAGATGATGTCCCCAGATGCCTTCCAGTCCCAGCTATCCTGTGATTCTGTGAACTCTGCAAGATGGGGGAAGGGAAATGCAGAAAATAAGCAGAGGCCCAGCTAAAGAGCAGGAACAATTAAATTACAGGGGCATAGTTCAGCTGTGGTCAAACACAAGTTTTCCCTCCTGCTGGTAATTCCCTCCCTGTGCTGGTACATGACATTCCCTGATCCCAACACACCATTTTGCCTTTCCCCAAGTCACATACTACCCAGCCATTCCCACGTGCTAGGCAACTGGCTAGACACAGGGGAATGCTGATTTAACAGCAGTTGGAAATAAGCAAGCCAAACTGTTCCAGGCTATAAGTCAAAATCCTTGAATCAAGCAAACCTGCATAATGTTTCCTTATAACACTTTAGAGCTCTTTCACATATTCACTTAATAGCACAATGTTTGACACAGTAGGGGCTGATAGTTTCAGCAAATCCGTCTGTAAACAGTGGAGGTCCAATCAGACCATACCAGCCTCTCATCTCCAAAACATGAACTTAACTTCCAGCTCCTGAAGATGCTGGGTCAGGTTTTGCAATAGCTAACTCTGTATCATAAATATATGTGGGAAAGAGAAAAGTATGCTTACAGCAGGCAACAGCAGAGACATGACAGAGATATAACTCAGAGTTCAGTCACTGTTCCAATGATTAACTGCACCTATATTCACACCACCGTTCCATTTTGGTGAAATTTCATTACTTCCAGCATCAGAAGACTGACTTATTTTGCTATTTTTATGAAAAAGTTAATATCTAGAATTATTTTACTTATTGTACACAGTACTTTATCCATTTGGCTTTAATAACAAAATAGTCCACTACATGAAGTCATATGATGTAGGTTTCTTAGCTTACAGAGCCTCAGAATTACCTGTTTGGTCACTGCTAAAAGCTTGTTGGATGACTAGCACAGGTTTCTCTGCTAAGTGGAACAGGTTCTACAGAATAGACATTCATCTCTTTCCTTAGATTTACTCAAAGCCAAATAATAAAAGCAAAATTCACTAAAAGGACGTATTTTCAAAGCTGGGAGGATCCATGAGCAAATCTACCCACTTTGTGAAGAACATGCCAGCTTGAAGCTAGTGTTGTACAAAAAATATGGTCCATTCTTACACTTTTATTTCCTTCTATTTACTTCACACAAAAAAATAAGTGAAAACAGATGGTAAAGTTCTCCTCTCTGAAGGCAGCAGATGCTGAATCCTATCATAAGCATGAGACAGTGAATTATATCTTGGAGTATAGTCCAATTTTAGCTAAAGTAGTGAACATATTTCAGCAAAGCTTATTGCTTTTATAGTTGAAAAAGCTTTGTACAGGCTCAGCTTATTTAAGAGACCATTTTGCGACCAGGTCACATTTCTACCATTATGCCTTTTTATATCAACTAGTACATTAAATACGACTAAGTTTGTTTTCTCTACCTCTCCATCTGCTTTCAGAGAGAGAGAGAGAGAGAGAAAGAGAGAGAAGCAGAAAGGGAAAAAGAAAACAATAATCTTAGACTTTTAATCACACAGCAGAAACTTAAGTTTTATTTCACAGAGGCTGAACAAGGTGAAATCAAAAATTATATCCAGAACTTTAAACAATCAGTATTTTCACTTCTTGCAAGTGATGGGCTTCAGCTATACAGAGTAGTAAAGATGACTACAGAAATAATGCTTTTAACAGAACAGAAAAAACGCATGGGCTTGCTGTTTAACACAAGAATTTACTCTGTGCATCTTACTAGTATGTATTTTGCGTATTTGTGTTTTCTCCTTCCTGTACATCTTAAGCTTCGGAAGTAGGTACAGTCAAGTTTTCCCATTAGATTTTGTCATTGTCCTCTTTCTTTACATCAGAAAAATAATTGGTATTGAAGCATTACAGAGCAGTGAGCCAAACTGAGGTGGATTTTCCCCCCCGCATCTTGTTCCTCCAAAGCCATAATAATCACCATTTTCTTCTTTTATTATCCTCCTTTATTTTCCAAAGGATTAGTTCCATACAAGCAATTGCATCTTCCCTGGAATTATGACCACCAACTAGAGGAGAACAAAAAAGTAGTGTTAGATTATGTATTCCTTTATAAAAGAACAGTAGGTTTCTCCACAATTGTTCAGCTTAAGGCAATACTTGGTATTCAGACAGTTTTTGGTACAACTTCTTGCTACCAGCATTAAAGGTAATAACCACACGCTTCTAGCAGCCCAGTATTGTCTGGCAATATTCATTTTCCCACTGCATCCTCCAGCTTCAACATCCAATGGAGCCTGGATTAGTAACCTAGAGTATCCAATCTAACTGTCTTTGGAAAACCAGCCTCTCCAAGCCATGTACTTTCAAATCAGAAGTTGAAAGAGTAACAGATGACAAGCTGATTTTGCAACTACATAGTAAATTTTTACCTTACTTAATTAAGCACAATCTGCTTGTCCTGATCGATTGAAATGCTCCACAAAATCTGAACAGAATGAAGTTAAAGCATTTAAATTACACGAGGTTATAAATTTGTATTACGCATTTAGTCCAAGCTTTAAAAGTCAACAACTTGTAAGTTTACACTTGTTTTAAACAACTCCCATAACTACAAAAAGTACAGTAGAAAGGTTTTAATGCATTGTGGCTAGAAAATAGTGGTAGACATCCAAATGAGAAATGCATACAATCCTCCTGTTAGTTGGCACTTTATGTAGGCATCAGAATACCCTTCCTAACATTATGTTAATACAAGAAAATTCTAGCTGCCAGGATAATGGTAGTTAACTACTGGAAGTTCTGAGCACTCCCTCCTGAAAGCCAAAGCTGCATGTTGGGGGTCTCCTAGCAACTTTAGGGTAGATGGAGAATAGATCTACTATGTTCAGCCATCATCTTCATAAACAGAAATTTAACACAGTGTCAAACTGAACACATATTCAAATTAGCCACCGTGTATCTCATTAAATCCTGTATGAGCTGATCAAGGAAAATCTAAATCCTATATGGTTTAATTTATGTTAAACGAGGATACCATTTTGAGTATAGAAGGTTTGTTAAAAGCACAGAAGATCTCAGATAAACAAGTTTGGGACAGGGACTGGTTATTCAGAAACTAAAAAAAGTTATGGAAGAAGAATCTGACAGCATACAGTTCAGCATTTTCATCTGAAGGTGGCAAAATCCCCTCCCCATTCCATGCTTCCAAGCTAGTGGCTCAAAAAGAAAAAGGTATTGCTTCTTTGCACTATAGCACTTCATTACTGCACAGATTCCACTACTGCTTTGGGCAGGGGAGAACACTGCAATATAGTAAGTTGATTTTAGAATAATAATTTCCTTAGATTTAATTGAGATGTCCATTCCTCAAAGAAGCAGAGGACTTAAGTGCTATCACAACAAAAGATGACTTCTACTATAAAGTACAAGCTTCTAGCTTTCTCTTTAAAACTTAAATGCCAGTGATTTGAGATCATTTTTCATATGTAGCAGCCTCGAGTCAGAAGCAAAGATCTTCAGATGTTTACAGACATGCAGTTGTAATTCAGGCATCTACTGACTTAAAGAAGTATCTCCTTGAATGTGGAAGTGGTTATACTTCCCTCTCAGTGAACACATAATTTACACAGTCACAGTAGTCATCTGCAACAGCATTAGTTTTACATGAATGCTTTCATCAGCATATTTTACAAGAACTATCCCTGCCATATCTATTTAGATTGGACACATAAAGAGCTGTGGAAACTAACAGAGGAGAGTCAGAGCTTTTATCTGTGGCAGAGCAGTTTATATCACTTAGTAACCTCTACTACTCACAGAATCAGAAGATAGCTGGTAATAAACTTGCAGGTTCTAGTTTTATCCTCTCCTAAATGTCCCAGAAGAAATAAAACACAACAGTTGCCAATAATCAAATAGAAACTATTTTGTGATTTGGATAAGAAAATGGTGGTGATCCTGTAAGCTTCCCCACTGTCCTTACTATCTTTCATCAGAAACAGTTCCAATTCTCATTTGCTTTCCAACCCATGAAGCAGTGCTCTGCCTTGCCATTCCACCCTTCAGTTGCTGCTATCATTACCTGCTCAAGAAAGCACAACCTGTATGAGACATGTTTTTCCAGTAGTCTGAAAAGGCTCAATTATTGAAACCATAGTCTTCTAGCTCTTATATATTCTTCAATTTTTCAGTCACATCAATTATATGATATACTGTAAGTCAAGTTACCTTAGCAGTTGCTGCTCTTGTACCTTGGACACCAAAAATCCTGGAGTTGAGACCCTTTAAAATGCACTCTTAGTCAAACTCCAGTTTGAGATTATCAAAAAAAAGGGCAAACAGTCAATTAAATTCAAAGCAAGTTAAATTGCCACAGATCTACTGTTTTCTGATAGCAAAGGATCTTTCATTCTACTCATCCCTAGGTTTATTAAAAAAAGCAAATCCAGACTGGAAGTCTGTTACCTTTCTCCTGTGCTAGCACAAAACTAACACAAACTAGCACAAAGCTGCAGCATGAGCCAATATAAACATAGGGAGTGGAAGTCACACATCAGGATTTTTTTCATCTTTTCTAGAAATGGCAGCTACCTAGCTCTACAGGATAAGCTTGGATTTTAGCTCCGTGGTGATCGACAAAGACTGATTAAATCCAAACTTAAGCAGAACAGTCTGCTAAAGGCAGAGTTTTGGTTATTTGACAGAGCCATCTTAAAGTCTGTAGAAACAACTTTTGACATTCCCCTTGCCCCCACCACAGTGCTGTGCATCAGACTGTCAGACCTGGAGAATAGTAATACAAGCTTTGAGATGCAGTATCCAGCTACTCCACTGGGTATCAAAGGCCAACAAGTTTTGCTCAGTGCAACTATTTATGTATTCCCCGGGCAATGAAGATATGCTGGCAGAATAGAATATTATTTGTTGTCCAGAAGGCTTCACTGATAAAAGCAAATATGAATCTGACAGTTTATTAGAACAAATTAAATTGAGTATCTAAGATCAGACTAAACCCAATTATTTAGAATGGCATGGTCAATGCAAAATATATCTGTCAAATGCAATGTTTCGTAAGTATTATATGCACACTGTAGAACAGATTTATAGATTTGTCTTTGACAGCCAGCCAAGAAGTTTACTATAATTTTACTACTGAAAATCCCAGCTGAAGAGATCCTGCACCAGCTCATATAAGAAAGTGAATATTGAAATAGATGTTAGTCTCATCACACCACCTTCTACAAGGTAAAAAAACTGGAACGCTTTTGTATGGTGAACACTTCGACAAGCCAGCTGTACTGGGGGGAATGACTGAGCAGCTGTGTGGTGCTTAGCTGCCATCCAGGGTTAAACCACAACATCAACCATCTTACCCTTCATGTATTACCTCTGCTTTTACTATACTACTGAAGTAAAGGTATCCAACTCAAAGCTTTAAATGACAGCAAGTATATTACCACCTTTTCAGTTTTCTGGGTTATTCCTGTCTCCCATTTCATGGTGCAATATACCAATTGCTTAATAAGAACCTGTGCTTTTACCATCATCTTGACGAATTCTCCTGAGGTAGTCAGCCATCAGACTTCTAAGTGCTCTTTTGTGAGGAAAACCTAGCCGATGAGGAAACACTACTGATGTGTCCACTACTGTGTTATGAATTAGCTGGAAAAGAGCAGAGGCCACAGTAATAATTACACATCCAGTTACAGTCTTGCACCTCCTTTATTTATTAAAGAAATCCCATTTAGCATCTAAACCATTTCATTTCTTAATAATCTGCCCAAGCTAATCCTTGAGCCCCAAACACTATGTCATCTGTCCTGTACTCCTCTATTCATTACAGAATGACAAACTGTAGGGCAAGAACTGTAGAAAAATTGTGCTTTGCAGTGATTTCTGTACACTGCATTGATTAGTTGTATATATACACAATGAACATGATTAATTCTGGTTTTAGATGGCCAGTACCATACTGCAAAAGTCTCATTTGCTTTGGACTTCAGACATCACTAGCAGGGAAGCCTATCAAGGCTAAATTCTAGTTCCTTCATTAGTAATAATCACAGAATGATTGCGGTTGGAAGGGACCCCTGGAAGTTCTCTTGTCCAAACCTCCTGCTCAAGCACCTTCAGTCGGTTGCCCAGAAGTGTCCAGATGGCTTTTGAGCATCAGTAAGGTAGAAGACTCCACAACCTCTCTGGACAACCTGTGTCAGTGCTTGGTCACCCTCACAATGAAAAAAATGTTTCCTGATATTCAGAGGGAACCTCTTGCGTTTTAGTGTGTGCCCAACTGCCTTTTGTCCTGGCACTGGGCAAGACTGAAAAGAGCCTGGCTCAGTCTCTCTTCAGGTATTTATATACATTGATAACAGCCTTCCTGAGAAGATTATTATATTTCTTATGAAATATTGCTGCATTTGATATTTAATAGCATAATCCACACATTTCTGATACCTAGGGTAATTATCCGTCAGGCAGCATAACTGTTTACAGAGATTCCAAGAGCAATACATTAGTATTATTTGAATTATCACTGCCTTTTCTGCATTTGTCAGCATGAGTTCAGTAAGATCAGAAAATATACAATTTTAGGTTTCTGTGAACCCAGAAATAAAGACAATATTATTCAGTGGTGATGTATGGTTGCATAGCTAGAAGCACAAAACAGCAAAGTAGGAAGCCCAAATGTCAGAATCCTTACCATACTGTGTGTGTGTATATATACATCTCTTCCTTCTCTGAATCTAATATTATCTTTTATACAGCTACCATTTGACAATCAAGTACATTTCATTTTTTCTTCCCATACATGTTGATCTACCAAAATGCAACATTCTTTTCCTTTTTGAAGTTAATTAGAACACCAGTAAAGACAAGTAGGCAAGTCTTAAAATTGGCTTTCAACATGTTATTTTACCTTGAGAACAAATAAATCATTTTCTAAGCCATGTCCAATTAAAATTGTATCTGCACTGAATAAGTTTAGCAGTATTGCTTGTACATCCCGAAGAGACGTTTTGGTATTCTTCAGATCATCCTCTGTTGCTCCAGAGAGTCTAAAGACAGATTTAGAAGAGCTTCATTAACAGAAACATGAAGAAATATCTAGAAGAACTCCATTTACAGTGATCATTCCCCCAGCACAACAAGTTAACACTAGCCAGCTTTGAAGTCACACAATATTGAAGTCAACATAAGGCAATTTTTCTTTTCTTTTCACCTATGTAGTATAAGATAAACTAAGCTAGGTGACAGTAACTTAGCTTTACCACTACCAGCTACTGAGCCCATTTTTTAAGCATGGACCAAAGACAGGGCTCTGAGCAAACAAATATTGCTGTTGAAGTAGGAACACATTGTGTTGGTTCTCCTCCATCTTTTTACAGTGAGATTCAAAACCTATATTTTTTTCTCAGAGCAGCTGCAAGATTTCAAAGAACTAAGAGGAACTGAAAACATGTCTTCCAGGTCTCAAAGACAAAACCCAATAGGAAGATCAAATACAAGTTATCTGTACTAAATACAGCCAAGTCTTGCCAAGCTATGCAGTCTGATGGCCTCAAGGCATGGCTTATGACTATACTGCTTTTCTGTGAGGCAATATTTATAGAAGCAAATGCAAATTTCATCTATCTCCTTAGGGAATTTAGCAAGTTATGGGAGGTTTGACTTACTTTTTATTTTTGAAGGCAGAGGAGAAAAAGTCTTCAAATTGAAAAAAAAAAAAAAATTGAACTAGGCAAAGAGAAAAATCCTTCTTAATTGAGCCTGTGAGAACAAAAGCCTCATTCCTGACTGAAGGTCTCTGATTTATGTCACTAGAGATAGACATTTAAGAGAGGCATATTGCTTCTTATATAGTTATCTACCAATTTATTAAGTCTAATCCTGAAGTACTATAGACCAATTAGCATACCTTATATCGTAGTCTACAACTTTACCATCTGGTTTAACAAATGTATCATAGACAACCTGCAGTTTATCATCGACCACTGTCACTCTAGTTAGTTCCAAGCCACGGGTTGTGTAACACTGAAAAAAAAAAGTAAATTTAACGAGCATTTACACAGCAGTGATGTTTCCTTACATTATACAAGTTGTACAGAAAGCAGAACTGGATACCAACTCAACAGATCCAAAAGATTTTGCTCACTGCATATTTATCATTAAAGGTCTAGTCATGCAGAGTGACTAGTCAGAGTTCTGCAGACTTCTCAGAGATATGAGTGCCAAACTACTACACCTAGGAAACTGCTCCATAAACAGCAATATAGTTTTCTATTAACTGAACCAAACATTTTAGGTTGCTCATACCGTCTCACAGTCCAGAGCATATACACCATAGTTTCCATCAAAAGGCGGTGATTTAATTAATGTCTTCATGAAGCCTTCCAACTTCTCCCTTCTGCCATCATGAACATGAAGCTGCAAAATTTCCATTAGTATTTAAGTGCAAGTTTGCTAGATATATGACCCAAATTGCCAAACAATTTGTTTCTCTAACAGATTCAGGAGCTTATATATAATACTTCTTGTCAATATTTGCCACATAATTTACTAAATATTAGCAAGTAAACCCAAAAGGCTCATACCAAACCATTCACAGAAAGCTATAACCCAGTTTTAAGTCAAAAGGACAAAGAAAGCAAAACTGAGACACTGCATTGTATAAACCTTCTGAAAACATTACTCCTACCTTTGCATTCTGACATCCAGCAGACCCAACTATTCTCTCACAACAGCTATAGCGTTTTTCCACACCACCAGGAACTGCCAAAAAGAAAACTGAAAATTGAGTAGTTTTTGCAGCAACTAGCAATGGCAAAAACATATCAGTACCCTCACTCCTTCTCTCAAATTTCTTTTCCATTTTCTCCTGAGACTGCACTATGGCAAGAAGCAAGTCCTGCCTACAGGTCCAGCGTACGCCAAGATGATAAACTGTACATCGCTCCCTCCTGAGAACAAGGTTTTCATCAAAAAAAAAGAAAAAAAGAAAAAACAATGAATGGGAGACAGCAAGTTGTAACATGCTCTAGAATGTTCTCCCTCAGGAAAATATTCAATGTAGCTTCTCAGTATTTAAGGTGTGTCTCAGAAAAGATTACAAGGTTCACTTAGAACTCAGTGCAAGGCCACACAATGAACATTTTTCTATCTTCTTGCCACATGGTTTTATCAACTTTCCTAAAGTTATAGCATATTCAAAGAAAATGGACTTTAGTAACTAGCCACATTCCCAAAAGAACAGCAGAATGTATCTCAGCTGAGCCTTGTACAAAAAAGCTTCATACTCCTTGTTCAGTTTTGACATGAGATGTTATAACTTTTACCAGCTTCCATAAAGATTGAAAGTCAAGGATACCTGCCTTTTTGTTCCAATACTCTACCGGAATGGTAGTTGCATTCTTCTTTACGTCTATGTTCTCCTGAAGAAGTAATAGCATATACTTCGCCACATCTACAGCACACTCTTTTGAAAGCTAAAATAAATAAATAAATGGAGCATATTTCCAAGTTCACTTGCCTGAATTAAAATATAAAAAAAGTTAACATGAACAGTAATTACGAGAGCAAAGTATCAATACATAAACAGCCTCCCAAGATTAGCTATGTATTAAAAAAACAACCAAAAAACCCCCAGGTCCTGGCACAGTAAAAAATTCAAGTTTGTCTGCAACTTCTTCAATTACTATGTTGAAATGAAATTTTAAGAACACCTATGAAGCTTCATGGTTTAGTTATGAAAGCTTGTGAATTTACTTGTACTTAATACCTTGTCCAGGTATTAAATACAGAACACTGCTGTGATGTATAATGTTATACCTGTGTACTTTACTTTCCTGTGAACCACTGACTGAAATTCAATTTTGTTGCAGTCTAGTAGGCACTTACCATCATATGCAGCATTTTTTACAACCCCAGTGAATATAGCACTACCATTTTTTTCAGGATTTGGTCGAGGGAAGTTATTTTCATTTAATTGATCCGCAGTCAGACGATAATCTTTTAAAAGTTCATATAGAGCCTGACCTGTAAATGCTAAAAAAAAGCAACCAAAAACCTAGAAGTAAATGAACCCAAAGCTTAAGCAGTATGAGAACAAATGTAAGTAGCACTTAAATATCACAGCACTTTGAAAATAAGCCAAAACTGAAATGACAAGATGTGCACTAGTGTACATGCAAAAAGTATATGCTTGTACCTCAGAGCAATTGAATTAGAGTTGAAGCATTATTCAAAACAAAGACACTAAACAATAGGGATGTTAATTCACTAGCTATCCCAGAAAGAACAAGCATACAATACTAAAGAACATGCTCTTTCCAAATAAAAGTTCAATATTTTGCCTCTAAGAATGAGCCATCAGATATAAATAGGGAATTGTGTTGGAAACCCTTGCAGTGGCTAATAGATAAAGCTTGACCAAAAACAGAGCGACATTTTTATGCTGAAATAAGCCTATTTATAGGCTGAAGTGGAGAACTGACATCTCCCTTCCCCTTTCTTTACCTTTCTCTTCCTCTGACTTTATGGATCCAGCGCCACTGGAAGGTCTGCTGTTACTAAGTTGCCCTGAATGCAGGAAAACATTTTTTTAGCATTTCTTCTCAATTTTATTTTTCCTTTTAATATCCTAAGCAAATATTTAGAAATCAAAACATCAATTTATTTCAGTGATATATTTCTACAAAAGTATTCAAATATGCAGAAATATCTTTAGTAAAGTTAAACTAAATAATCCCTTTAAGACAGTTCTCTGCTGTTCTAATTTCTATGCTTACAACCCATTTAAGAAAATCTTAATTGAAAGCCAGACTACCATGATCTCTCAGCTTTTTGAGAGTCTTCACAGCAAAATTCAGGTACATTTTTTTACTGCCACAACGATCATACACAGATTGCTCTTCTATCAGGGCCTATATTTGAAAAAAAAAAAGAAAATAGACTGAGTATTAGTGGAGTATTGTTATGCTTTAAATAAAGCACTGCCATTTAGAATCCAAGATTTTGAACCTAGAGGTAGATATACATGCAAGTAATGTCCTAAACCTGAAGTGTAATAGGAGACACAAAGTCAGATGGATGAGACAGCTAGAAAGACAAATTCAGTACTTATGAAGCAAAGGTCTGTGAGGAAAATCAGTGCTCCAACTCAGAATTTAAATCTAATCCTTGTGGGCATTTGAACGTTCTCAGGGTAACCATTCCTGTAGCTACAGACAGCTTTTTCTGATCCTGCTTCAAAGGAGACACTATTACTTTGAGGTCAAGAAGTGTTTCCTTAATTTTCTTTCTGTAAAGTTGTAAGAAATAGAAGTGAAAGGAAACTCCAGCACCTTTTAACTATGAAGAAGCATGCTCAAAACAAAGAGTACGTTCACTAATCTTCTGGTGGAAGAAAAATGCTTCTTCCCTGGTTTTATTTCACTGTTTATATTATCTGCTTAGTCAACAAAAGAGAAGCTCATTTCAGACATAAACAGTGCCTTCTAACAATCACTACAGCAAGTACAGTTCACAAGTTACAACTTCTAAGCAGAGGGA